GACATAGATTTTTCAAATAGAAAAATACTTCAGAAACCTACTTTTAGTAATTAAAATTTTGAAACAGAGTTAGAAAATCTGTCTGAAACATCATTTGGAAATTAAGGTTTACAAACGAAATTTAAGAAATTTATCTGAGATGTCCAATATTGGACTCACGAATATAAAATCAAGAAAGTAATCCTGATCATAGTTAAGGTCATCGTTGAGGGAATGTACCAAGGAACATACTCATGAATAAGAATTACAAAAAAAATCGCTGCGAACAATATAAGGAAAACATCAGTTAGAAAGAATCTAAGATTGGGGATCTTACTCTAAACAGAAAACACCTATGATTAGACAAAGTACAATCATAAAAAAAGATCATCAAGATATCAAAAACTGACTGGCAAAATACTTTGAACTTTTAATCAGAACACCATCCTTAAAAATCTGACTAAATCACGAGAATCAACAATATCGAACTCTCCTACTAGAGTCATCATCATGAAACAAAATACACCAACGAAGTAAAAAAAAACGAAGAAGCATTATTAGAACCCTCAGGGAAGAAAGTACTTTAATCTAGCATAAAAATGATCATTGTCTCACACAAATCTCCTCCCTACTCCTTCAACCAATCATCCTTACCTCTTAACCACTCGCCCCCCAAACCCTACCCTACCGTCTTTGGGGGATGAAGAAATCCCTTCCTCCCACTGCTAGCATCGAAAATCATGGCAAACCTAGCTCCAAAGACATCGAAGGCCAGCTTTCATCTCACGAAGAGGGAAAACTAGTGTAACACTCCTTGCCATGTCTGTTGACAAGTTGTCACAGGGGGTTCAGACCACCTACCCAAACCACTTACCATCCGGTTGAAGAAGAAGGGAGTCTGCCTGATCGGAGGAGTACTGTAAAAGGTAGGTCCTGACTCGATCCCTACCCCCCTTGCAGTTACTTGGAAGTTACCTTGAAGATGGTCTTTTAGTAAAAGCTACTCGACCCCTCCCGACCAGCAACTCGCTATTCGCCTTTAAGTATGGACGTGAAGGCTGCAGACCGACAGGGTTAGTTGCTCCCATCACACGCTCTCGCTTGCCGCTCCCTTCACTTGCTCCCGCTTGCGCTCCCTCACACGTGCCCAAACTCACTCCCTATCGCCCTCCGCGTACGTATGCATCCTCACATGACCACCATCGCGCACCTCAGCTCTCGTTCGAGGCTTGCGAGGGATGCAGCCGTCTCGTCATTCGTGCGAGGCGCGGCCACGTCAAAAGTCGCGTGGGGCGCATCGCTCCCGGTAGCGCTGCACCCCTCCGTTTGTTCTTTAGACATCTCCTATTGTGTGTTCTGTAGATAATATTAATACGCCGAGTTCTAATTTTGTTAGTAGGGGTGTGTTCCCGGCCCTGGTTGTCTCATTGGAATGAAAAATGTTATGTTTCTAAAAAAAAAAAAAAAAAAANAAAAAAAAAAAAAAAAAAAAAAAAAAGTCAGGGCTCGGGCCTACCAGGCCACAATGGCTGGGGGCATGAGCAGCATGCAAAATCTGACAAACTTCCTTCACGATTGCACAAACATATCGTAGTCAAAATAGCCAGATGGCTTCTTCGACAAAGAACAACAAATTGCAAATTATTACTCAAGCTCGTAATCTTCAGTTTGCAGTAGTCGCGAATTGCACCGTTATCGACCTTCGGCTTGTCAGCCCTTCTCCCTCCCGAGACTACACCATCGTTCCCCCTTTCCCCAAAAACAGTGACAGATGCATCGGTCTACCCGGTGCCCCGTCCAGAACTTGCTGTCGAAGAGGTAAAGCATGCCGTCGTTACTTCCTATATACTTGCAAACACACAATAGGCCCCTCCCTWYKGTTGGGGTAAACCCCATCCGAACAGATCACCAGAAAACGATCAAAACAAAATCACTCTCGGAAACTACGAGTATCCCCGTACGTCATTTCTTGATCTGACAAACGAAGGACTTCAGAAAATAAGACAAATGGTGTCCTCGTTCTTAAAGGCTTGTACACTGCCCAGGTAAGGCAAAGCCTGTCGGGCCTCCAGTCTGCATCCTAGGAACTTCCACGTACCCAGGCCGTCGTCTGTGCGTTTCAAAGTCAGCCTCTTCGGGTAACACCCTTCGAAGCATTTCCTCAACTTGACAACCTCCCTTTTGGAATGCACATCACCCTTCTTGTATGCCACAAACAGGGAAACATCATCGACCAAGCATACACCCATCACCGTCTTTCTTGCTGGGCCCAAAGAGTCCAAGAAACGCCACTCCGCGTAAGCACACATGATGCACGCGAGTGGCGGACTGGTACTTTTACCCATCGATACTCCAATCGTCTGCCTCAGCATGAGACCAGAGGCAACTGTCACGGTGTGTTCTAAGTCGAAAATTACAAAGCTACGAATCTCTTGCAAACTCACAGCCCACCAGCTATCTTTCGTCTTACAGTGGAACACTGCACCCTTTCCTCTCGGGTTAACTCTCACAACCTTTCTTCCCTTCTCGCGATGCCAGTCTACCAACCAATCCACTGTTGTTATGATCTCACTATGGGGTAACCGACTGAACATGTCCTTGACATCGTATGATGCTGCGAGGATACGTGTGTCGGTACCCATCTGGTCGAAGCATTTGTTCGCTTTTGTCAGTCTTCCCGCAAGTCCCGAGACCACCTGCAGGTTAAAATGTTCCTTCTCCGGTAGGGAGGTCAATAATAGATTTAGTGCCTGTGCCATCTGTTTGTTGGTTGCGTTCATTGGCTCTCGAAACGTCGGGCAGATTGGCCGAAAAGACCCAAATTCCTTGTGCTTGGGAATCACATAGCTCTTCCCAGTTCCTCCCGTCATTTTCCACTTGTCTAACTGTCCCAGTCCCGCCTGCACATACTCGTCGTAACTCTCCTCCCAAAAACGATCCTCACTTCTCTCGTCAAACACGTAGCCTTCGTTCTTCAGAAACATGCTCTGCATCCCTTCTAAGTACAGCAACGGGCACATGATGCATGTCTCTTCGGGGTTACGATTCACAGGTGTGAAGACCAGTCCTTCAAACTTCCTCTTCAGCCTTAACACGCTTTCACGTTCGAGTTCGCCACCCACCTGTCCTCTCCCATTCATGCACAACTTAGCCTCCTTCAACTCCACTTCGACAAACGTGGCCCTCCCTTGTTTCCATGTAGCAAAACCGTCTTCGATTTCCTTCTTTAAGTTTTTTTCTCTTCCTTCCTTCGCACACCTCGGAACATTCTTTGTGTTCATCAGCATCGGTCAATGTCGGCCAGTTCACTCAATCCACATCTAACATGCCCTCCACTCCGGGGCAGTTCAAATCCTGTGCATGCACAGGCAGCAACCTCCCGAGAGGCGAACCCTCGGTGATTGTGCAGAAGCTCACCTACGGTCGGATTCTTAGTCCAGACCACACGTGACTTTCGCTTCAAGATGTCATTGGTGCACGGTGGAAAGCCCAGCTCGTCGATCTTCTCGTCACATAACCTTCGCAGTCTTACCAAGTCCACTCGGTCGTCATACTTGGTTTTCACTACCAACTTGCTGTATAGGTTAACCCCTGACTTCTGCTTAATCGCTCCGAACAGGATCCTTCGCAGCATATTGTGGGTCGACTTTTTTGAGAATTCCTTTGCAGCGCCGATCAGGTCTGTCAACAATTTCAACGAGAGAAGGTTAACCGACCCCCCATTTTTCAGGTAAATTTATAAGAAAACCATAAGGCCATTTCAAGCAAACTCCACACCAATGTATAGAGTGCACTTCTTACTAACATATTAAAAAAATAATAATAATAATAAAAAAATTAAAAACACATAAAACAGCAACCCAAAAGTGCATTTTCAGGCAATTTTGGCATGAAACACGTCATCCAAATTTCAGGATTTTCAGGCCTCCCAACAGCACAAATTCTAATAACCCAAATAATACCAAATTTGGCAGACAACAACCTTAAACCAAAACAAAAACAGGCAAAAAAACAAAAAAACAAAAAAACCAAAAATTTGACCCCCAAACCCTAATTTCAGTTTTGGTCCCATTCGTCAGGAGCTGAAAATGGAGGTCCCCGTTAACCATTTGTGAACGGAAAATTTGTTTACTCCTTTCTTCGTGCAGGGAATTTCAGCAGTGCCAGTAAAGCTCCTTTCTGGCTGCGACAACCCTTCACCCACTTCTTCAAACGCCAAATGCTCAGTTCCCCTCCTTCCTCTATCGTCTTTTTACAACTACGCAATTTACAGGTAACCCCGTTCATTAGCACTTCAGACTCCCCAAACAATCGTCGGACTTTCTTCCACGTATCGCACCACGCATTTCCTCCCGTACTTACCAATGTGAAACAGACGTTCCCCGATCCCAACTGTTCATCAAACAGTGATACTATACTCGTTCTTTCCTCCTCCTGACACCCTACTCAAAAACGCAGTAGCTCGTGATACGATCGGTTCGTTGTGACCGTGGCCCTACCTTTTTTCCCTCTATTCCGCTCCCTCTTGCCCTTTCTCTTCTTCCTGCATCCTGAATTTGTAGACTTAGCTCCGAAGACATTCAACGCCGGTGACCATTTGCGGATGTAGAATTCTTCAATCAGCGGCAGTTCTTCGACCGTAGCGAACTGGATGGGGATGAGAACGTACTCATTGGATCCAAACTTTCGTAACCATCGATGAAAATGCGCTGACCCATCGCTTCCTGGCTCGCTGCGATGCACATGCTCAGCCTATCGCACGTTGAGCAATCTTCCCGTGCGGCCAATGTAGATAGCCTTGCATGTAGGTGATATCCCTACATAAACACACGACTTCGGATTTTCCAGGAAATCCTTGTTCTCCTCACTCATCTTTACCCAATCGTTAACGAACTTTCGTGCCCAAGGCACAACTCTGCTCAGAGCCAAACCAACAACTGCCCACCGTACCGCGGATTCAATTTTAGGACAGATACCTCCCCTCTCTTTCATTACCTCCAGCAACTCCCCATACTTTCGCCAAAGTTGGCTCTGGTTCATTAAACTTCATTGGGAAGTCGATTCTTCAGATTCCTCTGATTCTTCTGAATCGCTTCCGTCCGTTGCGTTGCTGGTTTCCTTCGTCTTCCCTTCAGCTGATTCCACGTCCTCGGTATTATCGTAGGCTAGCATAGCCCTCTTCTCAGCCACCGCTGCCACCGCTTGCGACTTTCGTACATACAGAATACTCTCTGACTTGCACATTTTCTGGATTACTTTATAGTCCATTCCGTCCAAGTACAGACGGGTGTCTTCCACGAACTTGGCTCGCGACCCTCTTCCCGTTCTTGCGGCTGCTCCCTTCTTCGTAGGGTCAGAACTCTTACGCGAGCTTTTCAAGTTGAAAGGTTTCAGACTAGTCTTCATCTTCTTACAAGACCCTTTAGGCCTTCCTCGTACTCGCGTCCAGTGCTTGATCAGCGAAGGTGGTGTCAACAGTGATTCTTCGTCCGTGGTTTCCCTCTTTCGCTTCTCCATGCTGAGATCGAGCGCAACCGTTTTTTGACTGATCTCCTGTACTTCGTCGTCCGAATAACCCCAGCCGTCAGGATGGTACGGGATTCTTTTCGGACGCCACCTTCTTTCCCGCCAGTGACCTTTCCTGACATCTCGGTGCGTGGCTGTCGGTGGTGGTCCCCACTGCGCCAGTTGTTGCTTCACGATACGTGACAAACGTTGCTCATTCTCCAACTATTCCTGCTTCTTTCTTTCTTCTTCTTCGATCTTCTGCTGCTTTCGTAACTTCTCCTCTTGTCCAACCTTCTTCCTCCTTTCCTCCTTCTCGAGGCGCTTTGTTTCCTTCGCCTTCTCCTTAGCCAGCAGTAGCGTTACTAGTTCTTTCACGCCCTCTGAGTCTCCACTCTTACCACTGCTTGCTGATGACGTTGACCCCTTCTCCCAGCGTCGGTTTGGCGACCCACCTCTCCCAGATTGCTCATTCTGCTTCTTGTATTTCCAACATTCGTACTTAAAATGCCCAGGTTTTCTGCACGAGTAACAGATCAGTGGGCCTCTTCTTGGTGGTTGCTCCCCTGTACCACCGCCTGCTCCGCCACCATCGCCGCTCATCGCCATCCTCGCGTCCCCCCTTGGATCCTGACTGTCGCTGCACTTGATACTTCTCCTTACTTCTTCTCCCCCGCAATAGTCTCGAACACCGAATCGGGGTGGTCTTCCCCGCAGGTTAACGAGTGCGTAGTCAGCATGCAAAATCTTACAAACTTTCTTCACGATTGTACAAACATATCGTAGTCAAAATAGCCAGATGGCTTCTTCGACAAAGAACAACAAATTGCAAATTGTTACTCAAGCTCGTAATCTTCCGTTCGCAGTGGTCGCGAATTGCACCGTTATCGACCTTCGGCTTGTCAGCCCTTCTCCCTCCCGAGACTACACCATTGTTCCCCCTTTCCCCAAAAACAGTGACAGATGCATCGGTCTACCCGGTGCCCCGTCCAGAACTTGCTGTCGAAGAGGTAAAGCACGCCGTCGTTACTTCCTATATACTTGCAAACACACAATAGGCCCCTCCCTTCGGTTGGGGTAAACCCCATCCGAACAGATCACCAGAAAACGATCAAAACAAAATCACTCTCGGAAACTACGAGTATCCCCGTACGTCATTTCTTGATCTGACAAACGAAGGACTTCAGAAAATAAGGACCGCGACCCAATAGAAGCGGAAAAACAAAATAAACAACCAAAACAATCAACGCGCCAAAACACTTTCGAGAACTACGAGCGCCTACGGCAGGTGCAGCAAAGCTGCTGCCACTCCCCAGATGCCCCCCTAACTATAGCAAAATCATCTACTACCTTCTCGAAAAAGCTATCGGGGAACCCTTTCGCCCGATACTCCCTTCTCATTGTCAGCACCTGGACCGGAATTGCAGTCTGATCCGTCGAATTTCTGTCCAAGCGATGCAGTGAACTTGTGACGGCCGCGACTTTCTGACGTCGACTGGTCCAGGATCTGAAATCTTGCCCGGTTCGAAACCAAAGGCCGGCTGGACCACATGGTGTCCTCGTTCTTGATGGCCTGTACATTGCACAGGTAAGGCAAAGCCTGTCGGACCTCCAGTCTGCATCCTAGGAACTTCCACATACCCAGGCCGTCGTCTGTGCGTTTCAAAGTCAGCCTCTTCGGGTAACACCCTTCGAAGCATTTCCTCAACTTGACAGCCTCCCCTCTGGAATGCACATCACCCTTCTTGTATGCCACAAACAGGGAAACATCATCGACCAAGCGTACACCCATCGCCCTCTTTCTTGCTGGGCCCAAAGAGTCCAAGAAACTTGGTCCGCAGTGGAGCGCCTCCAGGGCCCGGTGTAATTTCATCATGCTTCCTGGGCACAAACATGTCAACAGGGCCCTTGCCCTTGAATTCAGTGGCAGGCTAGTAGCTCAGAGTGTGAAGTTACAAACTGGCAGGGACCAGAAACTTTTAAGGCCAAAAGAAAGGGTTTTTTGAAATATTGAAGTTTTTTTTTTTTTTTTTGAAGTTTCTTTTCTTTTTCCCAGGAAAGACCCGTAATCCCTTTGTGGATCACGTAGGCCTGCACACTGACCCCACTTAGTTGCGGATCCCACAATGGCCTTTTAGGTTTTAACCAAAAATTCAGAAAAAAAAAAAAAAAAGTTCCTCGAAAGTCGTGCTCATGGCGAACTATTTGTAAAAGAAAATTAAATTTGAATCCCATAGGCTCGGACCGTGAGGGGCTTTTCCAATTGCGCAAGGCGATTTTCGATGGGCGTGAACAGTCTTGCGGAGCTACCGAGTTCGAAAAGCAACCCACGGGCGCCGTTCCAGAAGTTTCCAGTCCAAGATACGAGGGCTGCAGACACAAAACCGGACTGTCAGTGGCGAAACAAAAAATAATAATAATAATAATCGCAAAAAAAATGAAAAATGCCCGTTTTTTGGGGTAAGTGCAGGTGGTTACGGACTTCAGGGAATTTCGTAATGTGTTCCGCCGCAGGTCACGGCCATGGCGACATGCATATTCGTGAGAGTAGAAACAGACGGAGAGTTTTTTTTTTTTTCATGCAACAAAACAAAATTTCATATTTCGAAAAGTTTTTGAGACCGGGGACCTCACAATTCCACCCCGAGAGCTATGAGCTTTACTCAGTTTCGTTAACTGGCCAGTAGCCATGTCGTTGCCATTCTCACGGACTACCTAGTTAACTACCCGCCTGATATTCTATAGGTCTGGTTGAAAGCCATGTCTTGAGTTCATCTGGAGGGTAACAAAACTAGTTCCCTACTTACTGCTTATAGCTACTCTCTCTCCCCAATTATTACAGTCCCTGCTAAACTAGCCTTCCCACTAACCAGGCCTACCCAGCCTGACAATCAGTCTAAGCGACTGGCCGAAACTGTTGTTCCTCTACTTCCCATGACTCTCCCTTCCTCCACCCTGATCAGTCTAATGCGACTCTATCAGAACAGAGTGTCCTGGTTCTTCCTACTGAAAAGAAGCCACAAGGCCACAACCCCTCACAAACCAAAAGGAAAGAAAATCTAAATAAAATCCACTAGGCAAAGCAACCTCACAAACCAAAAAACAAACCGTTCAACCAGTTTTATCCCACCAGCGCGAGAAGACTAATCTACTTTCGCTCGAAACTTTCACCACTCCTTCCTTTTGACACCATGTTGATCTGAACCGTGCAAAACCACTCCTGCACTTTCCGTTCTTTGCTTTGAGTCTCCAGTCTGCATTGATTTCCTCCCTCAGTAGCTTCTTGAACAACTTCTCTGCCTGTGCCTCGGGCAGCCCCTGCCCCTTGAATCACAGATCGTTGTGGTCTGCCCATAACACCCAGAGCATCACTGCTCTACGTACTTTGGCCACGTAACCCCAGCCCTTGTTTGTCCTCCTTCCTTCTGGAGTTATTTCCAATAGGACCCAGCGTTCCCCCACGAAATCATCCCTTCCTTACCAGAATTTCCAATGTGCAAACCACCAGTCCCACCAGCATCGGGACTTGGGGCAAGCCCAACACAGGTGGTGGAGTGTTTCAAATAACCAGCTGCATCTGTCACAAGTTTCCTTCACCTTCATACCCTTCCTTCTCAGCCACATGGCGACCAGCACCGCTTGGTGTGATTGGAGCTAGAGAAGAGATGCAAACTTCTGAGAAGGGAGTTTTGCAGTTGGTCTCACAGTCTGTGCAAGTCCTTTGGATTAGGTGGGTCAAAATGTGGGAAGTATTTCTCTCATTTCTTTATTAATTACTGTCTCATCTTGTCATCATTCCTGCGTTTTCTCTCCTGCATAATTATTCCCTCATTCTCCAAATTCCATATCATTGCCGACTCTGATTTCCAGCCCCAACTTGTCTGATCTATGCGCATTAGCTCACAAGGGGTGTCGTTAGCTACCAGTTTGCCTGAAGATGAAGTATTCTCCTTGTCCTGTGTCCGGAGAGTTTTCCAATGCCTTCGGTCGGGGAACCATGTGGATCCCCGTTTTTCACCAAAACTTCCTCAGAGTCTACTAACAATTGTGGGATAGGGTACTTAGTCTAGGTGACACTGAGCGCATCTGCCCGTATTTCTTGCCATAGTACGTCCTGCACCGATAATCTGCAGATTCTGCACTAACAGCTTATTTTGCCAATGGATTCGGATGGAACACAGGATCTGGGACGTTGCCAAAGTCCCATAAACCCGAATTCTGTACATCTAGCCCATGATCCTAGCCATCAATCTGTGCTCTCCGGGGGCGTGGTCCCACTAGCAAAGAGGACTGGATCGAATGTCTGAATCTGGACGTGTTTGTGGCGAGGTGCAGGAAATAAACGGAAATGGAACTAGCAACGAAAATGAAACTAGCAACAAAAATGAAACTAGCAACGAAATGAAACTAGAATTTGATCCTCCAACAACCAACACTCAAACTTGGACACGAGGGACCCCTATGGCGACATGCTGGAGCGGTGTGTAGAAGGAAGGGATAACCCGACAGCCCTCGTACTTGCACAGAACCCCAACCCCTCGCCCCTGCAAATCACAGACTGGATCATGACAGGTCTACAGTCTCTCTATGCGGAGGCCCCGGAGGCATTTTGGCCCCAGGCACACGCACAGTTAAGGAGAGCCCTCGAGGAAAGCACTACGTTGAAGTGCATTTTAGAACAGGGTCTTCTGAGCCACATACAATGGGAGGAGGTGCTCCAAAGGCTTTTCAAAATCTCAGCGGCACACTTTCAGGCACCGACAAAGGGGCCGTAGGCTGCACTGACCATGGAACTGCGAGGGGGCAGGGAGGAGGAGGCCATGAGCATAGTAGGAAAGGTGTTGGGATCTGGGGGAAAACAAGGAACGACAGACAACCATCCCCGAGGAAGAGAACCAAGCTGCCCAGACGGGGGCCACCACAAAGGATTACCTCGAAGGGGCCTTTGGACCACAACCCATGGAAATTGAGGACCCCCGAGTCCCCCYCCCCCCCCCCCCTCCGGATGTGGCGGCGATGGACATTGACCAACAGGAGGACACGGGTGCACCACCGGCTGATATGGACACCGAGCAGAAGCTTAGAATTATCGTTGATTGGCTGATAGAGGGCTTCCGAGCTCAACACCCGGGCGGGGCACAAGACTTCTGGGACTGTTCCTACGCCCAA